GTGAAGGAAGCAAATTCAATAGGGAGCATTCAGATGTGAACGGGATCATTATTTGAAGGAAAGTAATCTACAGGCCTCCAGGAAAATAGCAGGGATGCGGAATTAATCAGATAGCATTGCCAAAAGGCAGCATGTTCAGTTGAATGGCCTTCTCTGTGCTGTATCATTCCCTGATTGTGAAATTTATTTTCTGGCAGTTTATGGGAACTTGCTGTCTGTAATCTATAGTAGTAACTCACTTCACAATTATTTGGTTGGCTGCAATGCTCTTTGGGATGTCGTAGGGTGGAGGAAGGCACTATATAAAATCATAGAGTCGCTACAGTGCAGATAGAGGCTATTTGGCCCATGAGGTCTGCACCAACCCTCCAAAGAGCATCCCACCAGTCTAATCCCCATAACCCTGCATTTATCATGGCTAATCCACTTGGCCTACACATCTCTGAACACTATGGGCAATTTAGCATGGCCAATCCACCTAGCATGTACATCTTTAGGCTGTGGGAGGAAACTGGAGCACCCAGAGGAAACCCACGCAGACTAGGGGAGAACACAGATAGTCATCCAAGGTTGGAATCAAACACAGGCCCCCAGTGCTTTGAGGCAGCAGTGCTAACCACTGTGTCATGTGCCACCCAGTGAATTCTTTCTAAATGCTTTCTCTCATTTTGGCACCAGTTTGGCAACTGGAGAGTTTAGCCTTTAAAAGAGGTCAGGACTGGGTGTAGATGCAACGTTTGTGACCAATCCAAGGGAATAGTTTTCCTTTTGACCCCCACTAACCCCAGATGACCATTTAAAATAAAATACTGTGCTTCACCACCTACAAATAGCTTTATGTCATAGTATGTTTGTGTGAGGACTTGTTTTACAAATTTATAAGATGATGGTTTGTGACCAGAATTTCCTCCAGTGACTTTCTGAGTTCAACTGAGTAGTAGGAAGAATGAGAGGTTGATTATTCCTATATTGACCTTGTGTTTCTTTTGGCAGCTTCTTCATGAATTGATTGAGTCAACCAAGCAAACACAGAGTAGTGCGAGATGCATTTATTTTTCGCCTGCCAAATTTGTTTGTTCGAATTAGTCAAAATAAATGATAACGTTCAATGATCCACATCAAGTACATTTCTACAACAGCGTATTCTATTAAAAAAATCTTTGGAAATTCTGTAGGAGAAATAAGTGGCTGGCAGTGACATGAATGAGGACGATTATTGCATTGTGATTACAGTGTTTCCCTTTGATTTACATTCTGTATGTTATTTTTCTGGTCCAATTAAGTTAACTAATCAGAGCCAAATTCACTTGCTAACCCAGCCTAAGTCAGACAGGGCTTCTACAGTTAAAGACAGGCAGGCCTTATTTCAAAGTGGTTTTCATATTTTAAATGTCCAGGATATGCAGTGTTGGCAAGCCGAACTCATGATTGTGTAATTATATTGGCCTCCTTGGCAACTTGGAGATCTATTGATAGTCACCATTTAGTGAGATTTTCATGAAAAAAAATCTGCACTAAATGCAAGGCCAGAAGCAAGAAAACATGTTAGAAACAATCCTTCAGCAATAGAGTCTGAGCACAGATCATGGCCTATGTTTGTACATAAAAAGGTCAGCAACACTGTCTTATAACAGGGTAAGTGTGGAGTCCTAAGATTCTTATCAGAACCCTCAGTTGGTACACAAGAATGCTTATCTGCAATGCCCAGTGCCAACTTCTGAAGATCTCCCAACCCCACCCCACCTCACCTACTTCCACCCCCCACTCCCATCAGTGTACTTTTCACACATCATTAAAGAGTCAACCACCCATTGATTGGCCCATCACAACTGGTTGAAAGCTAGTCGGGGCAGGATTAGGCCATTAATATGATCTGGCAGCTCTTTCCCAAAGCTCTGAAAACATCTCCTCTCCAAAGTATTTTATCCAACAATCTTCTGAAAGTTATTACTGAGTCTGCTTCCATTATCATTTCAAGCAGTGCATTCCAGCTCTTAACAATTCATCACATAAATCTTTTTCTTGCTCACGTCACCTCTGTCTTTTTTTTTTGCCAATTATCTTAAATCCATGTCCCCTTGTAACCAAACTGTCACTAGAACTTTCTCCTAGCTCAAAACTTAGACTTTTCAAGATTTTGAAAACTACTATCAAATCTCACCTTAATCTTCTCTGCTCCCAGTAGAGCACCAGTTTCCCCAGTCTTTCCACATATCTCAAATCTTTCAGTCCCGTACTATTCCAGCATGAGTGCTCTGTACTCTCTTCAGGCCTTCAAATGACAGACGTTGTGGTCACATGATTGAATGCATGATAAACTCTACTTGCATTTCTCAGGTAAACAGGGTAAGCATTTCAATTAATGCCAGTCTGAAAGAGCACTTTGCAGCTGTAGAAGCAATCTGAATTATAACATAAAGAACATGTGGAAAAATATATTGTATATTGCTGATTTTAACAAGGATATGAACTTTGAGCTGTAGGCTTTCTGTCTTGGCCCATAATATGTGCAGAAGACTCAGAGATCAAAGGTTATTGTATCTGTGTTCAGTAATCTCCAGATTTACCCATGTTAATTACCTTCTGTGTAGTTGAATGCTGTGTGCCACTTAGCTGACAGCTTTCTGCTCATGGTGTTCCCTCCCAATGGCCTTGGGCTGCTGAATTTAGACACACTACAATAAATATCCAAGAATTGGCACTGCTTACTGTGCAGCTGCCTGCTTACAGCAGTGAAACAAAGCTGCTCAATTGGCAGACAGATGGCAGTGCCATCTGTCAAGTGTGTTGAAATGTATTAAGTTTACTGTGAAAAGGAGATAAACAGTGATACAGAGAGCTGTACAAGCTCAGATCATTAATTTAAAGCTATCCATAAATGCAAAGAGAAATATTTCCTTGGAAATCAAACATGCAGCTGTTGAAGGATGAAGTGGACAGGCAAAAATACAACTGTTAGAGAGCTCACACAATGTTTACATTGTTTATTCTATTCACAGTATATTCAGCTTCTTCAGTCAAAAAGTCACTAGAACCAGCATATTTCATATTTTAAAAGAAGTTGCATAAAGTCTTCTCAGTCAGTTCTTTATTCAATAAAAACAATACTTATTACAGGCCTCCTAAGCATTACACCAAGAAATTTGTAAGTTGGAAGCTGTCATTTCAGAATGAATTTCACTGAGAAACCATATAGTACAAATTGTTCTGAAGCGTCAACTGTTCTGTCAATACAGATGCTGCCAGACCTGCTGAGTTTCTCCAGCATATTTTGCTTTTTTCCAGATCTCCCACATCTTAACTATTCTGCTTTTATTTACTGCAAATGTTTGTTAGTGATTTTAGAATGCAATGTGCTTGTAACAAATTCCGTTTCACTATTTCTATGGCATTGACCCAAAAGTGCATCCAGTAAAACAACAGAGAGAGGAGTTTGGTATGAAAATGTAAATGCAAATTATTTTTTTCATTTTAAGCTTCTGCACAATGTCATCACTGACAGTAATTCCCAGGGTTATGTTACACAAATTATTTTAATGTTTATATAAAAATGAATATGACAGTGAAGGAGAAAAAGTACTGTTCCTGCTGAACGATTAGATTGAAGCAAGTTTCTCAAGGTGTAATGCGATATAGTTGTTCCAGTTGATGAGCGGTTGACTTCCAATGAAAGCGACATGAGTTCAGATCTCAGAGCTCCCTGTCAATCAGTCTCAAATGGTTAGTCGGTTTCTTCCTAAGTGTGCAATGCTTATGATGTTTTTCAATCTTTACCTCATTTTTCTTGTGCTTAGACTGTTGGTGTCAGCAAGCCCTCGCTATCTATTAAGCAGAACTGTCTTTGCACGGCAGGACATGAGAATGACAAAAACAGAAATTGCTGGGAAAACTCAGCAGGTGTGGCAGTATCTGTGAAGAAAAAGCAACAGTTAGTGTTTCAGGTCCAGTGACCGTTATTCAGAACTGGACCCGAAATGATAACTCCGCTTTTTCTCACAGATGCTGCCAGATCTGCTGAATTTTTCCAGCAATTTCTGTTTTTCTTTCTGATTTCAAGCATCCGCAGTTCTTTGGTTTTTTTGTTTGGGATAACTGATTGGTTTTTGTTGTAGTTGTGGTGTGCCAAGGAATCAAATGGTAAACAGAAACCTTGGCATTTAATTGCTCGCTAGATATTTCACTCATTCTTATTTGAAAGGTCATGGTTTAAACTATAAGTTAAGCCATTAAACAGATTTGTTCACAAAGAATTTTTAATAATGCAGTAGTAAAGACAAACAGCAAATTTGTAATATTATGCTGAACCTAGCAAGTAATCTTGGTTCAAGTTAAACATTTTTACATGTTAATTTTCCTTCTCGGAAACTGACAAGGGATACAATGATCATATATGTCTTTAGGACAAGGAGTATGTCTGTTTCTCTTAATTCAATTATTGGGTATTGGTGGGTGTTCCCTTGAAGGCCTAGAATTGTACAAGGAGTTACAGCCAGTAAGATGGCATAATTCTTCAGTTTGTCCATTGTTCACACCGCTTCTGACCCCATCATATACAAAGCACTGATGCAGATATTCTGTACAGTAGGGAGCTGTTTGTAAACTTGGCTTCATGTGGAGCATGCTTGTGGACTCCTGCTGATCTTTTGCTGCCAGCCCCCATTCTCCTCCCTGCCCCCACACTTGTGAAGGATCTATCTCCCTGTCTCTACTGGCAAGGCATCTGAAGAGCTGCAGGCCATGGCAGGCACCCACAGTTTGCCATGATTATTGAGATAAGGTCCAGGGCCTAATTCTGGCAATTTGTAACATACTTTGACTGGAGAGGGGTAACCATTATTAGTCTGCTTACACCCTGTTATTAAACAGGCATAGTGGTTATTTACCGAGTGCCTGAATGTTGACATTTTTTTCCATGCTCAAGGTTGGTGTGTGCTCTTTGGTTTACTTTCTTATTTTAAGCCATTAATGTTCCTAATGTTTATGTTTTTATTTTTTCACAGTCCTGGTATCTGGGATAGTTGAAGTCCCCTTTCAAGTATTACAGAAGCTATTTAATCATGTTTCCAGAAACATGGTCGAGCGTCAACTTTGGTTTCAAGTTTAAAACAGAGAGAAACAAGGGAGAAGACTATTTATCGACTCGCCTTTAAAAGAAAATGAAAAGTCAGAAACACTATCATCCTACCAACATGTTCCGAAGATGGGTGCAATTCACTTCTTCCATTGGCTGAAGCTTAGCCTGAGGTTTCCCCATCTGTTTTATGCAAATAAGCCTTTATACTTCTTAAAAAAAAATTCAGAACAAAGTTTACTAAATCTGCTTTCGAAAGGGTGGGAAAATTAACATTCATCAATCAAACATAATTCAAAGTTACATTATGGTTTTCTTTTGATTTCTCCTTTTAAAAGAGTAAAGATAGCATTATTTACACAAAGGATGGATGCGCAGTATTGTGCATAATCATTTAGAAGTCATCCAAACTTAGCCTTCAAGTGCTGAAATGCACAGAATGAGTGTATCTGTGCATTGGAATACCTGAGGTCGATTAAAAGTTATCACAGTTTAAGACAATTCTTCACATTTATTTAAATCATTCTTGATTATAATCATTGTGAACAGTCTTTGTTTACTAACTTTATTGCAAAGTTCTAAACATCACAAAAACATGCACTAATGAAGCCTACACATTGGAGACCATCACTTCAATACGGCTAATTCATTAGCTTGACATCAAGTTATTTTCCTTGTTTCTATTTCAGACATTTGGGCAAGCTAAACATAAGAAAGGATATTTTTCTACTACACAAATAAATGTGTTTAATGCAATGATAAAAAAATCAATCAATTGTTCAGACTGACATATTTAAAATTAGACAGTTCCTTGGTACCAACGTTGCAGGTCAAATTAACCAGGGCGATATTTCCTAGTCCAAACCTGTCAATTACTGGGAACATCATGAAGCAAATTCTGTTTTGTTGCCTATAAACTAAAGAAGATAATGAATAGATTCAGTGTTAGAAACATCCTGCACCACAGGTTGGTCGGTGAATGATTTAATTTGCCTAAAACTTTAAACACATTTTCAGAATTATTTAACCACAGCATCCATAAAGCAAACCATTCAGTAATGTTGCTACTATTTCTCAATTACAATTTTCCCACCCTACTTAGTTTTTGCATGTAGCTAATAGCACAGATGCAGATGCTCATCTACCAGAGCAGTAGTTTTATCGGTTTAGTTATTATCGCTTCTTCACTAATGCATGCCATACACCATAAAATACATACCTAGCTTTTGTTGATAGTATTGGGAGGCAAAGGGTGGCTGCAGATTGAGTGTGGGGAAGTTCTTCATACACAATGCAAGTGCAAGGCCTCACGCTAGCATACATACTTTACCTTTCCCTCCTGGCTACAGGTTGCATTTATTTTCAAAATTAAACATACAAATAGCTGCAAACTCAGAGTATCTTTAGCTTAGTGGAATACATTTTGGGAGCAGGGTAGAAAATTGTTTCAAGATCAATATTTTTGTGTTTTTTTTAATTGTAAAGTTAAACACAATGTATTCAGCCCTCCGCCCCTCCCCAGGTAATCACACCTTTCTGCCAGTAGCTTATTTCACAAAAGAACAGAAGCAGAATTGAGCAAGGTCTAACTTGGTTTCAAATTCATTCTTGGGAAGCTAACGTCCAATCAGTAATCAACTTTAGGTTGGGGAAATAAAGGAAGTGGTTGCTTTTAAAGGAACAGGTTAACTGCCTGTTTAAGCAAAGACAAAAAAAAAATCTTTTGAAAAGATTTAAGAGGCAAGTGCAATTGAAAGGAAACAATTTTGTATCTTAGTGATTCTTTGTAACTTGTCCTTGTACCCCAGGACTGTAAACAGGGGAAAATTGTCGCTAGGCGACTGTGGCACAAAAGTGCACCCAAACCCCTTCCCCCACCCACCTTTCACAGGTGAACACAAATGCCTTAGTCAGTATGTTACTTGTTTTTTTTAAATCAGAGGGTAGCCAGCTGCACTGTCATAAAATTAAAAAGACAGCACTTGTGCACAGAATATCATTCGTTAAACTGACACATATCGAAAGCAATATTTGGCATAATTTAGTTCTGTTCACAACTGAACGTTTTTGACAAAAGTAGCTTGCATCTGAACAAATTTCTGTCCGTGTAAGCTTATATTTCTTGGTTAGGTACAGCTTTCCCTGAGCTAAATGCTGGCATCCAAACCTCACGAGTGTAAACAGCAACAGTGAGGCAAACTCTAAACGTATTTATATTGACATTTTTTTTCATCAAAGGTGCTGAGTTATGCATGGTGCTTTGATAGTAAACTTTGTGATCCAGCAAAAAAAGATCAGCTGAATTGCTGAATTCTGACGTGCATGGCAACTATGTGCGGGCTTCACTCTTTTCCCTACAAAATCCTTTCCTAATTTGCACGGAATTTTATACCACATTATGTGCCTTGCCTTTGAGAAAAAATGTTTAAAAAATCGTTGGTATCACTGCACAATCTTTTGGCTGCATGTATGGTTGCTTGTCATTAAAAAAAAATTGCCATTGGTAAAAATGTAAGGGTTTATGATTTTTGCTTCATAGGACATTGTAACAGCACTAATTATCAGTATTCCAGTGATTCTGTGGACTTTCGTATAGAATATATTCATCTTGCGGTCATGTAGGAACATTGCTTTTGGACGTTATTTGTCACTAATACTTTAATGGAAAGTGTTTCACTTTTGATTCTCCCTACTTGCGTCTTCCAGCTCCTTTTATTTTGAATTTTTGGAAAATATGCAATACCAGTCTTGTCTATAGTGATAGAGCATTTAGCTTGTTTAATCATTTTGAGTTAGCACACTTGATAACTACAACATCATACTTTTCTATTTTTTTTAAATATTAATTTTGTTTTAATTGACCAAAGTTGGTGCTGCTCTCTATACAGAAAGAAAAATAGGTCCTTCTCCTGTTATAAATAATGCTTGATGCATGATTAGGGAAGGCTGAAAATGGGGTTGGGGGGGTGGGTATGTATATTTACAGTACAGCTGTGAAGCACCACACTGGCAACACATTATAAAAACAAGTTTAGCCTTGTTTTATTTTCCTGTGTGTTCTGGTGGCTAAAGCATTGGATGCTAGATTATAATTTCCTTAATCAAAATAAACTGGACAGGCTCCATTTCACAAAATACAGTGGCAGCTGATCAGGCAATTGATGTAGTAAATCCACTGGGCCCAATATCTTGACCTAGTGTGGTACAAGCCTCTATAAGTTGTAAAATGTCAAACTGTTTTCAATCAAGTAAATGTTTTTCTTGCATGTTATTTCGGGAGATTTGGATTTCAACAGTGCATTAATCACTAATTTTGACTAAAGATAGGATTCCTTTGAGCTACTTTTTTAAAAACTGTTAAGTTGATTACAGCACTTGGTAAGCAGTACTTCTGTTGTCCTTTGTACCAGAATCTGGTTCGAAAAGGAAATAAGTCACATCATTTCTATAGATATGTGCACTATTCGGCCAGGCCCTAAATGCTTCACAGCCTAAACTGTCAACTGGCCTGAACTTCAAGGAGAAGCTTCTATTCTAGTCAGAATATGAAAAACCATGAACTAAAGTTGTACATAAAGAATTGAAAAAACGAATAACACAAAGCAATAGTTGTGGGGTGTCAATTTGGCATGGTAGCATTGTTCAACAAAATTGCCATCTACACAAAGGTGGAATGATAAATGATAACCAAGACATATATAGCTCTGCTTCAAGACCCTACTAATGTCTCCGAGCTTTAATAATTTGTGTTTGATTGACACTTGGTATGCTAACTGGGATGCTGCACAAGGGGGACAAGAAATAGGGGAATAATGCCAGCAAGTTTGATCCTTGTCACATCCTTGTCTTGGACATTAGCTGCCTTCTTTGCAGACTGTGTAATTTGTAAGCTGTATAGTTTTATTAAGTATGTTTTACTTAATCTACCCTATTTTATAAGGCAAAGACTTTTGTAATGAGAAAAGTACAAAAAAAAAGTTTCATTACACTGGCTTATTAAGAATGTTCAGCATTATATACCATTTGTAGAGTATTCTTCCTCCATGGGAACTGGATTTGAGTTAAACTCTCCTGTTACCCTTATTGTATTTAAATACGGTAATTGTCCTCATTTTTATGGTTTTGCATATTCCTATACTTTAAAAGTATAGGCTTCTGGTGTAAAAGAGCCATTGTAAATGGAAGAAATGCTTTATTTTATGAAGAGTAATTATGTCAAACTTGTAAGAAACACTTGGAATTTTGAGAAGGAGTGTTGTCATTGTAGTCTCTTTGACTGTTTTAAAGAAAAAAGTCTGTAGACTTTTCAAGTGCTAAACTGGTGGGAGTAGAACAGATTATGTGTACTCTTTGTAGGGCAAGGGAGCCCAACAAATTGTTGTATGCAATGTACAGTATTGTTTGTGCAAAGGACAATGCAATGCTGGTAGCTAGTTTATTTTTAAGGCAGGACAGAAAACATTGTTTACATATGTATTCCAACCCTTGGCAATGGCTGACTGCATGCTCCGTGAAATCCTTGTTTAAGAATTCCTTTAGGGAATTCTCTTCCATCGTTCAGACTCTCAAGCAGGATAGAATGCTGCCACAGTCAAACATGTGACTTATTATTATTCCTAAAGGGGTTATGAGTTGGCTGATAACTTTTGTTGGGAAACGTAGGGTGAATACTGTCACTAGTGCAGTTTTGCAGGCATAGTTATATGTGGTGCAGACGATGAGGTGATCTTTGTCCCTTTAATTGAGAAATTTTCATTAACCATCTAGCCCTTCCGCATTTGATAGAACATTCTAAATAGTTACGGTCACCTCATCAGTGTTTTTTTTCCTCTAACATTCCATTTTACAGTTGATTGACACACCACTTAATGCAACACACATCAAACTCTTCCCACATTCTCTTTAAAAAAGGGTCCTGATGCCTCCATTCTCCAAGTATACTTTTAAAATTTATGACAGACATTAACATTTTTAAGTCCTGGCAGTTTTGAAACTTCAATTTTTTACCTGTCAGATGGAAAAGCATTTTTTAAAAATGGAATGAAATGTGCTTAATGCCCATTACTTTTATTTTCAATAAAATGTATCACTGAATTTATAATCTCCATGATGAACGGTTGATGGATATGTAAAGCATCACTGAATAACATAATTTTCAATTAGAGTCCAAAATATAGTCATGTTCAAGGTGATAAATAAAATTTGTTCAATGAAGTTTCTAACTAAAATTTTCATTAGAGATACCCCAAGTTTCTAAAAACTAAAACTCTAAAAGGTACCAATAAATTTTGAGCTTTGTGAAACAATGGGTGTTAAAACAATCTGCTGCAGCAAAGAGCATTGCTGATCTAGGTGATTGATGTCCCCTAACTACTACTGCTTTGATTTCACTGATGCAATGCTCCCAAGGATAAAGCAGTTGTACTCCCCCTAACAGCTCAACTCACTATTCAGTCTGCATAGTAAAGACCTGCAAAACCTGTGTTGTAAGATAGCATGCACTAGATGTCAAGACACCCAATCAGGAACTGACAAAATTTATTTCCCTCCTCAAACCCTGGACAAATTTGCACTGCTCCACATCTTTCACCTTTTCCGTTTCTGCAATAACTCGAGGCAGGGACTGAAACGGAACAAGCTGCCATTGACATTGCCATTAGTCACAGCATTAGTAAAGCCAACACCATTCTTAGGTCTACACCACAGATATATTTTTTCTAAGGTTTTATCTAACCCCCTGCAAAATGTGCCAGTTGCTTCAGTTAGCCTGAAGGGAATATGCAAATTCCATCACAATTTCCATTTCTTTTTTTCTCTGTTGTGCAGCTCCTTTGCAGCAATGCGCAATGACACACGTTAAGCAGCCAGATTACGTTTTGTAGAAAGCAGTAGATATACTGGTATTGTTGTTTCACATACACAGCTCATCTGAACATCTGTAACTGGGTCTCTGGAAATCTCTTTGAAAGACAGTAAGTGAAAAGGAAACACATGAGTTCTCAAGGACAGCTAAAGAGACACCTGACTGCCTGTCATTGTAAAGGCATTTTCGTCAGGCTGTGCAAAACTCTGAATTGCAAGAAAGTTTGTGAAGGTTCTTGTTGATGTGTTAGTGCACAAAGCATTTTTGGAAATTCAGATTTCCATCTCTGTTGATCAGGTTGAGAAGGTCTCAGCCTTGTTTACATGGTAGGTGAGTGTTAATTGGGTTCTGTGTGATGTGGACTTTGCTGAGTCCAGTATTCATCCCTGTACATTTTAACTGAAGTTTTCAGATTACCTTCAACAAGATAATTTTACTCCTAAAATCCGCTTTTATGAATTGTACCCCCATCTACATCTTTTTGATATTAAAATTATTAACTGTTGTTTAGAGTCTTTTATATTCTACAAAAAAAAACTTCCCAGTCTTTAATTGACTCAAACCCTGTACCCATACCAACGATAATATCAGGAATACAATTCCAAATTCTGGATCTCTCCAGTTGAAAAGTTCAGTGCTCAGAATACAAAGCCCAAAAGCTGTTGTTAGGGTGCACCGAGCTCTGCAAAGGAGGAGGTCAGGAGAATTAGGCAGTAAAAGAAGCACTGCAATTCACTTATGCTCCTATACAACAATGTACAGTTTAAAAAAAAGGATTAGGAAGACTGTCAGCTAGGAAGAAAAAAACATTGATCTGACATTGATCCCATTGATCTAAATAGCCCAGCAATGCAACCAATGTCCTCAAAATTCAATGATAAAAATTTCATACAAGTCAAATTGGTTACTTTTTCTGAGAGACTAATGTCATGAACAGAAGACAATGTCACAGCCAAACCTTCTTTGACAGTCATTTTGCTAAACATTGAAGAATGCTGGTGATAGAATTGCTCAGCACAATAAGAGGCTCTTGTACAAACAGCATATCATCTTCACAGTTATTGAATTTCTGGGTAATATTTGTTTACTCTGTACCACAAGTTTGTCAGAGGAGATTTTTTTTAAATTGGAAAGTTTTGATTACATTTTACTTGCAAATTGTAAATAATTAGTGCATTTCCTTTAAATTGTATATTGTATTTCCGGTATTCTAGATCTGTTTGTTCATTCAATACAATCAGATCAGTGGAAATGCATGTTCAAAAAATTATTTTTGCACAGAAGCATACACTCAAATATTAATTACTTCAATATTCTGAAGCTTATTATTTAGACATTATTACAATTCAGTAGGTACACTATAATAAACCTAAGGTACAGTTATAACATTTAAAAGACATTTGGATAAGTACACGAGTAGGACAGGTTTGGAGGGATATGAGCCAAATGCAGATAGGTGGGACTAGTTTAGTTTGGGAACATGGTTGGCATGGTTGAGCTGAAGGGTCTGCTTCCATGATGTATGACTCTATGACTATTGTATTTTACTGCAAGCCAGTAACCAAAGGAAATATGTTTCAAAGCCTTAATCCATCTACAGAACCCAAATGAGGCAGCTCCATGTAAGCAAGGTTATGCTTCGCGTGCTTTGATCCATCTGCACTGAACTTTACTGTATGAAATAACAGGAAAACAGGCAAAAGATCCATTGATGCAGCACATTTTCTGCAAATAGCCCATAGGGAGTAATCTGTTGATTAGCATGACAGTAGCGGCAAAAAAGGAGGAATAAATTCAGCTTCCTTTTTTTCTGCAAATCTGAGCTTTGATGTTGATCGTAGTTATATAGAGGGCAATGATCTGATAAGCAGTTGCATTATTCTCTGCAGTTATTTCTAGCAATTTTAACAAGCCAGCAGAAAAGTACCAAAAACATTTTTAATAAATGCAGTGCCTGATAGTCAACTGCTGGATTCAATTTTGCTTTGCAAGACCTGGTTTTCACAGTTTGTCTTTTTTTTATGTCTTTGTTGCACAGGCTCTATGACAAATGTCCTTTGAACATCACTGTTGTAATTCCATATGTATTACATTGCACATATTCTGGGAAGAGAATATTTCTCTGAGAACGCATTGAGACTGTGTTATTTCTGAGGGTTTTTCATTATATTTTAGAATATTACGGTAGTTACCACAGTAGTTAACCGCTTGCTTGCTGCACAGACATACACACACTACACACCAGGACAAACTTGTGGCTCTTTAGTTGCTTGATGCAAACTTCTGACAAAATAAAATCTTTCATGATCACAGTTCTACTCCAACAACTAAAAAGAATCATTTATTTTGATTGTATTTGTCTTTTGATTTTTAGCTAATTATGTAAAGGGACACTTGTACAAAGACCAGCATCTTTCCTGCTGCTTTTGTACACAGATGTACAGTATATACGTAACTAAATCACCACTCGTTTTAAACTGGTGTGAACTCAGCTTGACATTTGATTATAACCATTGTATTCAGCCATTACTGTTAGCAGCTGCTCATACTACATACAATTACTGGAAGTGAATATGTTTCCCTATGCAAAAAAAGTTTAAAAAAAATAAACAAGCTATGCTACAGTTCTGACTCTGGTGTTTTCTTTGAAGCTTTTCATCACCATTTTTCTTCTATAACATGAGAAGTCTTGTGACTACTCTGCACTTCTCAGAACTCTTTTTGTAGAGAATTTTTTTTCTTGGCTGAACAACTGTGTAAGTAAACAGTCTGCCAGTGAAACCTTTAACTTATTTTCATAACCTCTTGACAAAATATTGGACCACTCAGTTTGAAAAGTGACAAGAAGGAGAAGTGAGGTATTGTGAATAAGTGACACCAAAATTGGATCTTAAAATTATGACTTTACAAAAGACAGCTGAGGAAATTAGAGTCCCATGGTCATGAATCTTCAGTAAGATTAACTGGACTGGGAAACAATGTATAGAACTTTGATTTTTAAAACTGCAAGGATGCAAAGGTTGAGGAAAGGAATATTTAGAGCTTAGAAAAAAAACCTCAAAGTAGCAGATATCACAATTGTACAAGTGAAATACAGAGGCATTACAGTGTGAAACCCATTACGTGTCTCAGGCCTAAGATGTTAAGTTTTTAAAGCTTTCTTGCACTGAGATGTGAATAATCTGAATGTCTTCCACGTTCCAGGGAACAAGGGTAGGATGGTTTTGCTTGTGAATGCTTCTTGCCAGAGCTTACATAATCAGTTCCCAGATGGAGCAGACAGCCATTGAGCAGAAGCAGACAGAACAACACTTAAGATGAATAAAATAAGTGGCTTTGACAAGAATATATCAACATGGATTTCAACTGAGGTGTACATTCAGAATAGGCATCAATTTCCAGGTTGAGGAAAGCCACGCCAAAGGAAACTCTGTGAGGCACAGGTTATTTAACTCCTGGACCTGATTTAAATAACAGAGACTGACATCAGGACCATGAGCAGCAGCAAAGAATAAACAACTTGCAGCATCAAATATGAGGGATCAGCAACTCCGTTAACTTTATTGCACCCAATCTGACAACTTAAACAGTCCAGTTTGACCCCTTTTTTTCTGCAGTAAAGAACCTCGAAGCAATTTAAACAGCATCTGGATCAATGATATTCTTACAAAGCAGATCCAGAAGTTGCTATTAAACTGTGGATCAAAGTCAAAATGTAATAAAGCTGATTAATGCCAAACAAATTACCTGACAATCATTTCTCACCCTAACAATCAATCAATAGTACTTTTCTTTAAAGAAGGCTCATTACACTACTCCTATGAGGACTGAACAAAGCAGATGGAATGCTGCTCTTCCCTATGTTGGGATGCCGAAATGGTTATAGCTGTTCTCTCCTGGAGGTTTGTGTTTGTGAGGGACTGACTGGAGACTGCTGAAACTCGTGCACTGTATGTTTGGTCCAACTGATTTTCTGGCACCAGAGTAACATTGGGCGAGACTGTGGCAGAAAGGTAAGTGTGCTGGCATCCTGAGAGTAGTCAGCATGTATTGCTTCTTTATGCTATGTCCACTCCCATGTGGACTTACTTACTTACATCACTTACACTAATCTGAGGAAGTACAGACAACAGAAGATGCGTTTGGCATGCCTGCCTTCATTGCTCAGTCTTTTGAGTATAGGAATTGGGAAGTCATGTTGAGGTTATTGAGGTACAGGATATTGGTGAGGCCTCTTCTGCAATACTGTGTCCAGTTCAGGTCTCCCAGTTATAGGAAGGATATTATTAAGCTGGAGAGGGTTCAGAAGAGATTTACCAGGATGGGGTATGGAAGGTCGGGTTATAAAGAAAAGCTAGATAGGCTGGGATTTTTTTCAATGGAGCATAGGAGGTTGAGAGGTGACCCTATAGAAGTATATAAAATACTAAGAGGTATAGATAGGGTTAATGATAGTTGTCTTTTCCCTAGTATGGGGGATCTCAAGACTAGGGGATGCATTTTTAGGGTGAGAGGAAAGAGATTTAAAAAAGACACGAGAGGCAAATTTCTTATGCAGAGGGTGGTTCAAGTGTGGAATGAACTTCCTGAGAAAGTAGTGGATGTGGTTACAATTTCAACATTGAAAAGACATTTGGATAAGTACATGAATAGGAAAGTTTTGGAGGGATATGGGCCAGGAACAGGCAGGTGGGACTAGTTAGTCTGGGATTATGTTCAGAATGGACTGGTTCAACCAAAAGGTCTGTTTCTGTGCTGTCTGACTATGATTCTTTGAAAAGCCTCAATCCGTTTGATGCATAAATTCATGCAAGTTGGATGACAAGTGTGCGTGATTGGCCATTTAATCTCCCACTTGCTGCAAAATTGATGAGGATCAGATGCAATATCACAGGGATATGGCCACATTATGAATGGTAGATACTGCTGAAGGCTGGAACCAGAGTCTAAATCCTGCCTTGGTGTTGCAAATTCTAGTGAGTCGATGCAAAACCTTGTGCAAGGCTGGCAGTTTTCTTGCTTGGTGTCTGAAGTTCTCATCTCTGACTGCACAACAACTTTACTGGACTGTCCCTGCTCCAGTATCTACTGCTTCTCACTGTGGAGCCCTCCATCCCACTGACTACTCCAATAGAGGACCAATGTACCAATGAGTTGAATGGTTGAAGTGTGTACTTGCAAGAGCATTAATCTTCTTTCTCCCAATTGCTGATCCATATAAGGTCATTGTCCCCTTTTTTAATGACCTGGAAAGGAGGGAAAGAGAGCTCCTCTCTTTTTTGTAAGCCCCGTGCCATAATGCCATGACCTCCACCATGGGTAGGGTCAGGAAGCAGGTTCTGAACCCACCCCAGCCAGAACAGGGGTCAAACCTTATGTTCGTGGTAACAATATTATCAACACCAGCCATCCAACCGAGTCAACTACCTGCTGCCACCAACACCACCTCCCCCCGACCCCGCAAAATCCATGTTGCTATGGCAACATACATTCTTACATGGATATTATAGCCTGCAGCTGGAGACTCCAACCACTTTCTATCACATGAGCTGAGAATAACTCCCTCCAGTATCACCTGCCCTTGGCCAAGTTATGACAGCATCTTTCTTGGCTATCAAGTCCTGGAGTGGGACTTTGATCCAGAGGTTCTGCCTCGGAAACAGAGGTGTTACTTTACCGCAAGACCTGGTGGGAGTTTACAAGATGATAATGATGTTCTACAAACAAAATACAACAGCAGGACCTCTGCTTCTCTGGTATTGCAGAGTTCCTCATCCACTTTCAGCCTCTCCATTCTTGCTCTGCCTTCTTGTATATAGAGAGGCCTTTATTTCTCACTTTCAAATGAATGTCGATCTGATTTTACTGCCGCTAATTGGTTGCAAAAAATAGTGTATTACTCTGTTTTTAATCTGTGGGTTGCCAAATTTCGAGTAAATTTATTACAGATTTTGAAGTGGCTCAGGAATTAATAGCATGCTGTGACTTTAGGGAGTTGGTCTTTACCTAGTGGTTGATTCAAATCATTAAATCTTGAAGAAGACAAGCTTAACATTTCAGGTAATTGAAGTACTGTTATTTACACATTTTCCTTGTACTGTGACTGGACATCTCCAGGACCAGCTGACAGGAAATGTTATAGTGTAGTGGTTAAATGGAGATTTTATCTTCATGGCTTGAGCAGCAATATGGCAGAACAGAATGCAGTGACAATCTTTTATAGGTTCCATGAACTCACTGCAATTATATCCTGTAGGTTATCTGAAGGGCAGGGATCCTCTCTGTCACATTACTGCCTAGTTTGCTAAGGAGCATGAGATACTAATTAAGAGGGAAATTATTGCTTGTTAATGACCTTATTAAATGTACCTCTTGCTTCATTAATATGCAGCTTCCAATCCTACCACCCACCGTGAGCAAACTAGATGCTGAGTATTGTTGACATAGAAGTCAGCGTGGATTACTGGCAGGTTCGGATTGCTGCTTGCCTCAGAAAATTGCCATGTCCAACGTCGGGCACCAACATCTCAGAGCATGCCACACGACCCCCAACCCACATCCATGGACATTGGCATCCAACATGTTCTAACAATCCTCAAGGAACATCTCTGATCCAATCCACTTCAATGCAGTACTGAGGGACAAGACATCAATTATCAATGTAAAGCCATAGCAAGGACACTGTGCCTCAGGTACCCACACACAGGCTGAACCAGGCTGCATCTCTGAACTGTTTACTTGCACTAATAGAACTCACTCACTTTGAACCAACCTGGATGCTTACGGCAGTCCTGCCTTGCCTCGCCTTTTTACGCTGTGTCCCTCAGCCAGAGATATCAGGCTCAGAACACTGTTGGCTTGCTTTGCCACTTAGTGCAGACACAAAGCCAGGAAACTATCAATGCTATCCTCAGGCAAGATATCCTCCTGTTGGCACAATAAGTCAAGGGCAGCCTCCGATACCACTCCAACAGGCTTGGACTTGGTCAATCAGCTGCCAGGGGTGATCAGAGTCACAATCCTCTCTTTGTAAGAGATGAGGAACTGAATGTTGGACTGACCATCACCTAGTGACTCCTTCTGCAATATTGTGGGCTGTTTTTCTCCTGAAATGAGGGAGAGAGAGATAGATATTAATGGAAGTGAAAGTGGGTGATTTGGCTTTAAGAGGTATATTTTGTCCCCATTTTTTGAAGAGAGGTTTTAAGACTGAGGTGCCAAGCTGGCCATTTGAATCTGATAAACAACTTGTCAAGCCTTGAGATTTTTTTTTAAAAGTTGGAAAAATAGGTTGGGTCAAGCTCCGCCAGAGCCAGGATTTTTTAGTTTTATATTTTAGTAGCAGTCGCTGGGGTCTTGAAGCTGGTTTTGGAAGCTGCAGTACATCTCTCCATGCTACCCTCTCTCTCAGAGTTTTCTCTTGATGTTTTTTCCCTCCTGGACTAGAGATTGCCTGTGAAACAATCTATTTTACTGAATTTGCCTTTGCCAAAGGTGTGTTTATGAGATGTTACTATATTGGAACATTCACTGTTTAGTAGTTAAAATAATCTATTATTCTGTTAAGTTTTCCAGTAGAGTTGTTATTCCAATTTCTTCTTACAGTTGAACTGATAGATGAGCA